ACAAAAACCTTCACCATTTGGAAAAAAATACGGACGAGAGGCAAGTAATTATTTTATCTACCTTTGTCTTTTACTTGAAAAGGCCTAGGGAATATTCACTGTGTTGCACTCTTGAGAGACACACAAACAAATTCTGATTTAAGCATAAGGGCATTATTAGATGACAACAGTATCTATTTTTAGATTATAATGCTAATTAGAAGGGTACATTGATTGTATTGCTGTACAGCATTGGCCCACTAGTCTCCAGAAAAAGGAAGAACTTAGTGAAAAGAACTGTAGAACTAAAACCATATGCCAATATTTACATCTATTTAATACACACTCACTTTAACTCACTTCCACAGAGAGCTCACCAAACCATCATATCTCGGTTTACCAACCCAGCAATCTTGCTTTGTTTAGTTAAATCTAATTTTTAAATAAAATGATTATTTGACTTGGTGAACCATTTTGAATAACTAACCTAACCTTGAAAAACTAGCATATGCATTATTCCTAATTTCATTACTCTTTCCTCAAACTTTTCATAGGTTTTCAATAGATCTACAAGCAAAAAAACTGAAGCCCACAACAAAATCAAAACCCCCAAAACAGGGCAGACCAGCAGTACCCCCTTGTCGCTCTTGCACTTCTCTGTCCCAACTCTACGTGTCTGCATCACCAAAGAATTGTAAAAGCCTTCTAGTCTCTCATGTTTCAAATCCTCTTTCAGCAAGAGGAACAAGTTTTATTTTCTGCTGCCTGGATTTGCCTGCAGCCTGTCCCAATGTTTACATTATTGGATTAGGAGCGATGAAAAAGCTCTGGTGACACATTTTTATTAAATGGCTGCTTGCTTCCCTGAGTGAAGGGTCTGGAGGAACCACGTGCTTCAGCAAACTGCATTTGTTCTCAGCATATTCTTTTAAGACTTATACTTGTAACAAAAGAATGACACTATATTCTAACTATCAGAAACCAGGAGCACCACCGCTGTATATGTTTCTTAGGCAGGCACAACTGTTGTTTTTTGAATTTGTTTTTTAGAGCTCTGAACACAGTCACTAAACACCCTCTAAACTGGTTCACAGATTAGTATTTTTTAAAAATAAGCATAATGCTTGTAACTTCATCTGAGACAATAAATCCCTAATAGTGCAAGGAGACATACAACTTCAGGCTCTCACCAGTTCCATTTTATAGATTTTTTAAAAAACTTTTAAAACTGTATTTAAATCACTGTCTGTGAAAGACTATATGGTTTCAGATAAAGATAGATTAAATATTTATGTAGGAGGAGACTTCAAGATAAAATAGCAGTCCATCTCAAAATGGGAACACAAAAACCAAAGCACAGAAGTGCACGCTGGACATGTCACTTCTCCAGATAAACCTTTGCTGTGTGTCTAATCAGGCTCACCTTAGGACTCCAAAAAATGTTCTGACACACTCCCCACACAGACCTAAGAAACAGGCACAGTTCCACCACATTAAAACTGTTAACTATTAACTGTGGAATGCAAATCCTGAGATCTTGCGCTGACCGCAAGCGTGATAGGGCGTTTAAAAACACTTCACAGCCTTCAACACTTCCTTTAAATCCTTTATGAATTACGTATCCCTTCTAACGTAGCAGGCACATGTTCCAGAGCTCAGAACCAACATTGCACTGGGGATTTCTCAACACACTCTTATTTAAAGGAGGAGATAACACAAGCCTGCTGGGATACTGGGTGGCCAACTTACAGGACGGATTGTCGGGGCTTTTCTCCAGATACACTCTGTACATAGAGGCAGAGAGCAGTTCCCAGTGGTGATAACTTGCACAACAGAATGGACAGGTTAATTATTACCAATTAACCCATTCAAGGTCTGAAGACAAGCCACCTTTTGATGCCTAAGAACCCTTGAACACCACTCTCTGCAGTGGTCGCACGCATGGGCACCACCAGACCTGCAGTTTGCTACAGCTAATCCCCACTGCAGAGGCCAGGCTGCTTCTACACAAAACGAACCAGTATAGCCCAAGATGGGGTTCAGAGGCACAGGAGCACACAAAACAATCAGGGGACGTCTCTCCTCTCCAGAGAGATGACCACAGGATGACCACCACCTCAAATCTGATCACACAACTGCAGTCTTTTTGCTCGCCGGTTACGTTGTTTCAGCTCCACCACCGTGTTTAATTATCAGATTTAGCCTGAGCAGAATGCTGAATGAACGACTGTGCGAGCATTGAAATGGTTTTTTCCACCCCACCACCCCAGCAACTACCACAGGCAGAACAAAACCTCCAGCACAAACATGAGCACTGAGCACAAAGGTCACAGTGAAACGCTCAGGGAGTGCAGTGTGCCCCTCTCCCCCACTAAAGGTGGTGCCATGATGACTTTGGTCTTTTCTTTCATAAACCTTTTTATTTTCTCAGTACCTTTAACATACATACCTGTAATTCTTTAAGCCTAATAGCTCAATCTAATCTTGGTACTCTGCTATGCCAAAGGAACAAACTCCTAAAAGCCTCACAGTTAGAAGCCAGAACATCTTACACTATCTTGAGAAACCAAAACCCCCTCTAAAACACATCTCATAAACTTAGACCTATCCAAGCAAAAATACTTTAAAATAAAAAACCACACTATTTATGGAAACATCTTTCTGCAAATGAGTGTATTTAATAATCTGTAAAATTGTATACACCATCTACCCTATGCATGCATTTTGGTATGTTCCACTGTGACAGTGTGTTACACTACAAAAATCCTTATTAAATAGCAAAATAAAAACCTTTTTATCCCTTACCCACGTCTAACTCTTAATTCTAAGACCAAGGAAAAGGCATCAAGGGAAAGAATTAATTACCAGCTTTTTAGCCCTCCCTAGCACCGTACACACATGTAGGCCTGAAGCCCTAAGGATAAAACGTTTAAGGGAACAGCTGCCCACAGAGCCCTTCAGCAATCAACCCAATGGAGAAGTTCAGCACAACTGAACAAACACGGCGTGAAAAATTTAAATTAAAAAAAAAAAAAATCATTCTTGCTGAGCAGAACAACTTATTGTCCAAACCAAAAGCTGAGGTGGCTGCTGCCACAGCAAGTCTGGGAGCTGTATCATGGGGTGACAAAAAGCAGCAGAAGTTTTCAGACATATAAGGACAAGCCTGCAGGACACAACACAACAAATTGTCTTGTTTGAAGAATGCCACCCCCTTAGTTCAACACGGACTCTTCAGAAGGACAGAACTACACCAGCAGTGGACATTACCACTCTCACAGCTCCACCCCACATCACCTTCAGCTTATGAGGATTTTCGTTCATTCATGCACCCATAAAACCCTGAACTGAGAACAGCATTACTCACACCACCCAGAGAATCACAGAATCCCTGAATTACAGGGCTGGGAGGTTCCCCTGGAGCTCCCCCAGGCCAGGCAGGGTGCCCTGGGCAGTGGCACAGGACGTGTCCAGCTGGGGCTGGCACGGCTCCACACAGGGACACTCCAGGCCCTCCCTGGAAATCCTTCCCGTGGCCTCCCCTGGACACCTCCAGAAGATTCCTCTTGATTCTGCTGTGAAGCCCAGACGTGGACACCGCAAAGCAGAGGCAGAAGAGAGCAGTTGTGATCGCTAGCACCAGCGGCAGCAGCAGCCAGGGCAGCGGGCCGGACAGAGCCATCTGTGGCACCATCTGTCAGCCGGGGACGGAGAGCGGCTCCGGGCAGTGCCCAGGCCCGGCGGATCGCCGCTCCCCAGCGGGAAGCGCTGCTCCCTGGGCTTCCCTGGTCTGCGCTGTTACCGCAGCTCGCACCGCCCGGCACAGAGCGCTGGCAGCCCTGCCGTGCCCCACACAGGGCCCAGGGACCAGCGCCCTGCCGGTACTGCTCGTATTTAAGCACGTACTCAAAACGCTTTACACTCTGCAAGTGTACAGTGTACGAGTGTCCATCCCACTCTACAGACCACACATGTATCCTATATAACCTATAAAATAACCTCGTCTATTTTACTTTATATACATTCTCCATATACCCTACACAGTACTCTTTGTATATATATACTATGCTCGATATTCCGTATATAAAAACAGCAGTAAGCAATACTATCGCTAACACCCACAAACCTCCGGGGGCAAATAACCCACCCAGGTAACCTCAGTCAGAGGTCAGACTCCCACAGCCGCGTCGCCCCGACCTCACCCGGCCGGTTCGGGGCCGTCTCGGGGCCGTCTCCCCTCAGGGCCCGCCCCGGCCCCGCCGGTGGCTCCGGGCGGCGGCCTCGACCCTCCGCCGCGCGCAACGCGCCTGCGCAGCCACACCCGTGCGTGACGTCACCACCGCAACGCCCATCCCCACTCTGCGCGTGCGCTTCCCGCCACGGCCGGCGCGGGGCGCAGCCCGGGGAAAGGGCGGGGCCACACGTCTGACGGACAGCGCGAGAGGGCGTGGCACGATGTAGTGGCGTGGTGGGCGTGGTCGTCTTTGTGATTGACAGGGCAGAAGGGCGGAGTCACCGACGGAACTGACCTAAGGAGGGGCGGGGCCTGAGGGAGGGGGCGGAGCCTCCCGTGCAGGTCACAGCCCCCCCTTTGTCCTGTACCCCTCAGCAGGGGGCGCCCCTCCCATCCGGTTCTCATGATGTCACACCCTCAGACCCTGTGGTGACGTCACCCCATCAGCCCCCCTCAGGCCCTGTCCCTGCCTGTTCCGGTGACATCATACCCCCCACAGTGACGTCACTGCCACCCCATCAGCCCCCCTCAGGCCCTATGCCTGCCTGTTCTGGTGACACCACACCCCACAGTGACATCACTGCTGCTCCATGTAGACCCCTGTCTGTGCCCGTTCCGGTGACATCACATCCCCAGTGACGTCACTGTTGCCCCGTCCCTGGGCTCAGCAAGGCCCAGCGCCCAGCGGAGCCTGGCCGGTGGAGCTGGCGAAGCCACCCCCCTCAGCCCAGAGCCCACGCTCTGCCATCAGCCCCACGGCGACGCCACCACAACACGGCTCCCGGTGCTTCCACAAGACTCTTCTTTTCCACAAAGCCTCACGCCCCGCTCTACAGCGAGAGCGCGCGCAGCCCCTCCGCCACGGCCGAGGGCCAGGAGCGCGGCCTGGGCGGCGCGGCGGCCGCTCCCGTGAGGGGCAGGCGGCC